TGATCTACGATACCTTATGGCTTACGTTGACTTAACGTGAGCGAAAGAAGGGATAGTATGAATCTTAAAACAACAAAGGAGATGTGACTCGTGAGTTTAGTGATCGGTGAGCTTGATGATCATAGACACAGGTTCAAAGAGTTACTAAAATAAAAACCCTACACTTCTTTATATAAGAACGTAAGACTTGAATTTTATTAGACGTTTCCGTTTCCTTTATGTTTTCTGTTTTGGAAAAATTGAGTTTAATATACATAATTACATTGCGACACCTATTTTGGAACCAAAAAGTTTCCGAGACGTCCCCCAGTTTTATTTCCCTGTCCCCGAATTTGATCGACGTCCCCACATCACTAGAAACGCCCCCAAAACGTCCCCGCAGTGATCCCGCAGTGTCCCCATCCCCTGAACGTCCCCGGTACGGGGACATCATGCAAAATGAAGTCCCTGTGCTATTTCCAACACGCCACAACAAAGTTCTCGTTTGTAACTGGTTGGCGGCTCAAAATCGACGAGAGTCTCTCGACCAGAGACCGTATACTACATTGGAACTCAACACATCAGGGTGTTTGTGTGTTATGTAATCAAGCAGAGGACACTAGAAATCATCTTTTTCACCTGCAGTTACTCTTATGGAGTATGGAGGTGTCTTACCCACCCATTACTTGGTGAAAAATACACAACGGACTGGACAAAAATCACTCAACTCTCATAAACCAGACCTTTGACAATCTTACTTCAACCTTTGAGCCTATATAGATTCTTGATCATTATCAATCTTGCGCCTCCAACGCAAGATTCAAAAACCTGGTCATATATACAGAGAGAAAACCCGAAGACAGAATGCATTGTTCTTTCTATATATGATTAATGAACAACAAAATGGTATATATTATCGGAAACCAAAGTGGAATTATATATCTTTATATCTTCAAAAGAAAGTTAACAAAAGCGTGGACTTGGTATGTCTTCATATTAACCAGTTCAATTTCATATTAACCTAACTAATGAGTGTGATGTGCTTTGTACACATTACAAATTGATTTTTCTCAATACGTCCGATTTGCTTATGACACATTAGACGAATTCATGATGTTATCCATTACGAGTAAAGCCTCATCATATGCATTATATAACAAAATGAAAGAAATCCGGACTTTTTTTCTTTAGTCTTTTAATGAAATAAAGTTTTTCATCTAAAGCAAAAAAAAGTGTCAAAAGCCTAGAGGTCAGTGACTCTTGGGACGGGCCATATAACATACTCTGATGATCCCAAACCTGAGGGAATGATACGGGTCGCTGCCCTTTTTGATCCTGGATTTATAAAGAACTAATGGGTCAGTAAAAGAAAGATGGACCTTTGTGTTAATTGGTTTGTGGCCCATATGAGTTCTGTTAGAGAGAAGAATAATAGCAATCAAGCGTGATCATCATGTCTTCTTCTCCGGCGTTGCATAGCTCTTCTCCAAAGGTTTCTTGCGAGATTTCAGGCCAGTTCCAAGCTATTAAGAATGTTCGAGAATCTTTACATTACTTTCTCTCCTAGTACATGGATATGAGTTATAGAACGGTGTTTATCAAATTCTTAAATCAATATCTATCTTGTATTTTAATGTATTTCTGCAAATAACCTATTGTCTAACGTTTTTTTCATCGATTTCTTTTGCTTTTACTTATTTGTTGGTAATTCTTTTTTTACTCTTCTATTTCAGTCTTCATAAATTCCCAAGCCCTCCCCCCCCAAAGTTTCATCTAAGCTAAAACTTACAAATTTGTAGTGTACGTAGCTATCTAGTTTTTAGTGGATCGGCTCCTAATTAAGTACTACTGCTTTTGATGTGCACTTGCATGACTATTTAAGGGTTAAAACAAGAGCACATCAATAGTCAATAGCATAGATAAACAATCATATAAGTATGTTAGTTGTTCACCTATCTCAATAGTTCAACTCTCGTGGGTCAAGGCGCCTTCTTTGCTTTCATAGGGTTACAACTCCTAAGATACCTCCATTTAGGTACTCTCGCA